TTCTTTTGCATTCTTTTTGCTATCGTTTTTTATTTTTATTTTTTTCTACTCTCACGTTTCTTTTCAAGTCTTTCTCTCACAGGCAAAAATCTCCCAAATCCTTACTTAGGGCTTCTCGCAATTCAGAATCTCTCAAGTTTTTTCCGGCAAATTCTCTTAATTCTCAGCAAAATTGGACCTTTCAATTACTCGAAACTTCTTTCTGACAAATATTCTGATGGCCCCCGTAGATCGACCAGGAAATCGGCTCCGATTGGTACGTCTTCGCCGGGTTCCTCCTTGCCGCCGGCCGCGAAATCTCGACCTCGCCGACCTCCATCATCGTCGGACGCAGCGATTCAACTTCCGTCTCTGCCTAGTCGTTTTCCGCGGCTTCCGTCCCTCCGGTGTAATGAAGAATATCTGCCGGCCCCGACCGTCCACGATTCCCCGATTGTTCGTCCGTCGTCCCAAGTACCTTCGGTCTTCTTTCTACGAACTGAGGTATATTTGTTATCTGCGGGTGGTATTATTGTTCATCTGCCGAGCACTGCTTCAAAGATGCCGCTTTCCCCTGTCGCTACTGTTCATTCAGTAATCGAGGTTTGACAAGCCGCGAACCAGCCACTGTCCCCGTGCCCGACAACAATCCCGCGCCTGTCGGATTAATGAGTCCTGGTGTCAAGGGGGATTCTATTGATTTAGAGATGGTTTGGTTTCCATGTTGCAGCTCAAAATCGTTTGGTTAAGAAAGAGGGTGCTTTCACTGGTGCGGTTGTCATGCTTGTCAATCGGGACATAACTTCGGTACTTCTTGGTCGTTTGACTATAGAGGTTTGATGGGTCAACCAAGTGAGTTTGTTGGAGATACAGTTGAATATGCCCTTGCTCATTGCTCAAGGTCTGAAGTTGCCAAATGCTTGAATTGAGGGGGAGTCGAAGCTGAGCTCGGACCTTGCCACTCTCATATCCGACGTCCATGTTTTCTGACCAAAAAGGGGGAGATGGAGAGCGACACGTCAATTGTAGTGTCGTCGAGTGCTCGACTTTATCACTGTTTGCATTTCTCATCTCTATCTCTTTTATATCCGTTTTGTTATTTTCATTGTGTTATTTAGGGGGAGTTGTTGATGCTTATGATTTGGAATCATTCTGGTTGCTTATATTGTTTTGTTCAGAAAAGCAAAAAGGGGGAGATTGTTAAATACTTAGTTTTGGATATTTATTTTATTTTGCTTTTCTGATTTATTTTAATATGTATATATATATTAGTTTATTTTTATTTAGTATAATATTATTGTGTAAAAAAGTTCTCTTATCTTATTAGGTGTCCTACTAGGTAAAGGAAGTAAAAAGAGAGGAAGATATTTGTCTTGGAAAAGAAGAAACAGAAAAAAGATTGAGAGGCCTGCGTTGATAAAAGGGCAGAGCAGCACATGGTGCGAATTGAGGAAAAAACAAATCATAAAGGATTAGTGGAGCAAGGCTTTTGAGGTTTAATCCAGGCAGCACATCTTTTGTTATTTGATCTGGGAAGCTTCAACGTGGGACAGACAAATAAGAAAGGAGCAGCACTCGTTATACTTGGGCATCTCATATCACTCTTGAGATTATTTTTGTTATTTGCCTTTTATAGTTCGATTTGATTAAGAGCATCTAGTTTTATCTCGCGAATTTTTTTTGTAGTTCACTAGATATTTTTGTATTGAAAGAAGACTTCGTAATTAAATTGATCTAGTGGAATTTTGGCATGTTGCCTTAGTCTACAAGTGATTTTCACTTGTAGGCTAAATTTTGAATTTTCGTGTTATTTATTTCCGCTGCGTATTTGAATTTCTGATCTTTGTGTGAAAATCTGGATTTTTACGTACCTAAAATTCTAACAA